CCTTTCCTAATATCAGAAAATCAGCATTGAAAACAGCAAAAAATCAGAAAAGCACCAAGAGAAGAGAAATACAAAATGATTCCTCACCTGAAGCAACTCTATCTCGCTCTGTAACGACGCAACGATTTCCAATTTCTCTTGAACCATCTTTTGCATCAATGCTTCGTTCTCGAACAAAAAAAGGTCAGAAATTTTCCATCAAAAGAAAGCAAAAAGAAAAACTCTGCATTTCATTTCCTTTTTTTCCAACGAATTAATCAATCAATGACGCAAAAAGGAAAACAAAAGAAAAAAGATTTGAGAAATCACCTAGGGAAGCGAATTTGGAGTCGAGAAGCTCGAGTTCACCAGAGACGCCGGAATCCGACGAAACGCCGTCGTTTGGGAGCGGCAGCTCTGCTTCGATTGCGGTGAATGTTAGGGCTAAGAGTACGGACATGAGAAAAAACTCAGACGCCGCCATTGGAGAAGACTGTACGGACCACCGAGCTGTTAGAGAGAGAGAGAGAGGGAGTCTGGGTTTGTTGTTGTTTTTCTTACGAAGGAAGACACAGAGAGAGAAGAAGAAGAAGAAGAGGGTGTAAGGAGGGAAAAGTGTGTTTTTTGTACTTTCGAATGTGTTATTGACAAGTAGGAATTTGCGGTTCCCACCGAAAATATAAAGTCGTTGACATTTTTATTCTTTTGCCGGAGATGGAAAACGCCAACGACAAGACCATTTCTTTTTTCCATAGTTGCGCACGTGTGTTTGTATTTTTTTCTTTTTTGGAATAATAATTAATGAGAAATGTGCACGAACTCATTTAAAATAACAGTTATATACGTCATAAAAATAATAATAATAAAGTGGTAAAAAAATTTAAAGCAAAAGACAAAGAGAAAAAGAAGAAAAAAACTTGTGCGAAATGTTTCACAACTGAAATTGTAATATTTGAGGGTTACAGATAAAAGATGTTAATGTAGGAATACATTTAACAATAAATTAATTTAACAAAATAATTAAAAAGAAATAATATTTTAAATAACCGTAAAAAATTATTTTAAGGGTATAGATTTGAAAATATATACAAATTAAAAGTTAAAAGAAATAAAAAAAGATAAGAGAGGAAAAAGAAGAAAAGGAAAAAAAAAAAACTTAAAAGAAATAAAGGGGCAACGAAACCCCCACCACCAAGAAAAAAGAAATAAAGGGGCAACGAAACCCCCACCACCAAGAAACCTATACTCTTTTAAAGAGAGAATGGATATTTATGACAGCAAATTTAGAGAAAGAAAAAAAAAGTGTAATAGAAAAAAGAAAAAGAAAAAAATATAAAAAAAGGTAGACAAGGAAAGAAAGAAAAGAGGAAAAAAATGATAGTTTAAAAATAAAAAAGAAAGAAAGTAAAAAAACAAAAAAAAATCAACGAAACACGGGGATCCCCTAAAAAATTGATGAGAAATAGTAGAAAATATGCCAATATGAAAAGCTTAAGAAAGTATATAGGCCAATTTTTAGTTATAGAAATTAATAGGTCATAACTTGTTAAGTTATAGTTCATAACCAGATAAATTATGAATAAACTTGTCAAGTTATAGTTTATAACCAGACAAATTATGGACAATTATGTATAATAACTTGTTAAGTTATGATTCATAACCAGACTAATTATGGACGAAAATAGTAATTTGGCATATTTATTAACTTATGTAAACTATTGGCCTATTAATTTTAATTCATCTCAAGTCTTGACTTATTTTTCTCTTTCTCCTAAAATTGATCACCATAATGTATAGCAAGGCGGAAAAAATAAGAATGTGAAAAGGGTAGGAAAAAAAAGAAGAGAATGAGATAGTTTAAAAATAAAAAGATAGAAAGAAAAGTTGAAGGAAAAAAAAAAACCCAACAAACGCCTCTAAATAAAAAAAAATTAATTGTCTCTTAGTTTATGTGGATAGATAATATAATGTATCAAAGGTAATGCAAACACCAATATTGATACAAGTAAAAAAAAATAGCAATACAAATTAATAAATGAGAAAATCATTATTCTAATAAATAACAGGTTTCGCTAATAAGCTGCAATGAAACACAAAAGGGAATATATGTACATTGAGTTTCGAAATAAACATCTAAATAGTTATTATACCAAACATCAAATTATAACAGAAAAATCTAAAACATACAAGTATTTAACGTTGTTTGACTTTTAATTTACGTCAACGGGTATATATGACGAAAAGATTCCACTATAAATCAAAAAGAGATGACAAAAATCTGTTAAATACCTTTCACTACCTAAATTTCAAATACACTTAACATCTCTAAAGCCAAAAACAAGAACACCAAATACTAAAAAAAATATCAAATCTCACCCAAAAAAACAAAAGAGAATATGTATCAATATGAAAAACACTCATGCGGCTGCTCTATATCGCACATTCTTCATGTTGTAGCATATATATACACATATATATACATATATGTATGCTCCCAAAAGTTAGAAATGTTGGCCCAGGCCCATCCTGACACAGTGACGAGCTGGACCGGCACAACGCGTCACTGTTCAAGGCACAGCCCAGTCCATAAATATTAGTGGGTTGGGTTGGGCCAACATATATCGGCTCATGTGCCGACCCGGCACTGCCCATAAAAAATCATGGCCCAGGTCGGGCTTGGGCCTGGCTAGGCCCTAGCTGGGCTGGCCCATTTAGGCCCGTGATGGGCCAGCCTAGCCAAGTCCATCTAAGCCCATAATATCTTCATGTTTTCTCTTTTTTTTAGTAATTTTGTAAACATCTTATGTATAATTATCATGACTGTACTCTTTTTTTCTTATAAAGGTTTTGTTCCACTAGGTTTTCCTTAGAAAGGTTTAATTGAATGAGTTAATCGTAAATAAAATATCTCTTTTCATATTTCTATTGACTATTCTAACTTATATATTTGTTAACTTGTTTAAAAATTCAAAAATAAAAAAATTCAAAATTACATGCTTATATGGGCTGACCCATCTAAACTCATGATCAGGCAAGATGGGCCTTGAGTGGGCCAGCCCATTCAAGGCCCATGGCACGGCCCATCCTGGCCCGCGGCACGGCCTAGCCTGGCCTACGTAAAATTAGCCCGTGGTGTGGGCTGGGCCGAGGTCATTTTTATACGGGCCGGCCCGGCCCGCGGCCCGCATGGGCCTAAGGAGAACGAACCGGGCGGGCCTGTTCTTGCATCTCTACCAAAAGTGATCGTAGAGCTAATGTTAGTCAAGATATGCGACTTGGACTCATCAACAATCATGGGCTTAATTAAAAGCCACACGCCCAACAATCTCCACCTTGGCAAAAATTAAGTCAAAGCTAAAATAATGAAACTTTTTCACCGTCTCCTCTAAAACCGGCAGGGTTAATCACAATTTGTAATACCAAATAAGTCCAACGACACCTAAATATCTAACTGGCAACCAACTTGATCACCGCACATGTTGCAACTAATGCAAACTAACTAACTTGTTAAGCTCCACTTGCTTATGAATATTGAGATCTTCATCTACAACAATCGACTTCCTTACTTCAAATAGAATGAAATATTTATCAAAATCATTAACTATGCTAATTACCAATCCTGATGATTTGGCCCAACAAACCACAACCAATGGTCGTTCACTCCAAACTCAAATCCTAAAAATAATCATGTTTTTTACTTTCACTCAAGGTTACCATCATTCACATGAGCACATATTGTAATACCCCGAAGAATTAAGTGAGATTCATTAAGGTAATTAAGATTTATTAGTGTGATTAATCTAGTTTAAATAATTAATTATTGTTTATTAAATGTTTTTAACGAGTAAATTTAAATAATTTCAAGGTATTTAAATATTCTCAATATTTACATTTGTACCCCAGAAGTGTGTGTAGACATATTTCTTGGACTGTCTTTAAATATTTTGACACCTGTCCATTTTCTTTTTCTTTTCTTTTTTCCTTTCCTTCTTTTCTCTTTTCTTTTTCCCTGTCATGCATCTTCACTCTCTCCCTCTCTCACTCTCGTTCCCTCACTCTCTCTTTCTCTCTCTTCCATTTTTGTCTCAAATCAACCGTATCTCAAATCAAGAAAGGATTTAAAGAAGTTTTCAACATCAAGAGAAGGATTTGAGGTAAGATTTCTGAAAAACTCTCTCTTGAATCTCGGATTTGTGTATTTGAAAACCTATTTTTGGATCAAAACATATTTTCATGGATTTTGAGTAAAATCATGGTAGAAATTGGAAATCTTGGGTTCTATGGACTTAATTTAGTAACTAGAACCCTGATTTGGTTGTTTTCCCTTGAGATATTTAGAATTAGAATTGAAATTACAGGTTTTTGAACTGATTTGGTGAGTTTTTCTCACCCTGCTGTTCTCCACCGTAGGTCGACCGGATTGCATACCATCAGGTTAACATGTGCGGTCGACCGAATTGTACACCACCGGTCGAGCGGTGGCGTTGCACTGCTCTATCACCAGTCGACTGGTCTACACGGGGTTTGACCCTGTGCTGCTTGAAAATGTTGTTTTGACATCAGTTTTTGAGAAGAACCCAAATTAACTTCATTTGGGGACCTAGAGTAAATGGATTAGCATCTTTAATCCATGTTTTGAGATTTAAAAACCCTTGGAATGATGATTTGAAACATGAAATGGTTTGTGAAACCGGTAATTGAATTATGGCACACTAATAGGAAATCAAAGGATATAATTGAGATTTAATTGCTTTAGGAATAAGAATTGGAACCTAAAGTGATGTTTTGTATCGGTGCTAGCTGAGGACTCGGATTGAGGGGCTTGAGGAAGCGAAAACCGGAATAGAGTAACGCTAGCCACAAGTTTGGTATTTGAGAGGTAGGATTCCTTATCACTTTCTATAGCAGCCTGATTTTAAAAGAGTTTTGGCCTTGTAAATGTTTTAAAGAAAGGGCATGTTTGCGAAAGAAAAGCATGTTTAAAAACAATAGCTTGATTTTAGCTATTGGAATTATAATGAACTGTTTCATAACATTTAATGAATGATTTCTTAAGACAAGAGATCTTGCGAATCGGTAAACCGGCTGATGGCCTAGATAAGATGTGAAAAGTGCATCCTTGGGGGCAGAACCCGAAACCCGGCCCGAGGGTGATAGGCTTGTGCTTGTGGTTGTGTAAGTAATTTATCATAGTATAAATTACTTACTGATGCCTGTTACGGAGATTTTTCAGTTATATTTCCTTTCAGAAAAAGGATGTGAGGTTCCGGCTGCTGTGTTGGAACTGAATGTCTATATTTATTTCATTGATTATTCATTTATTTATTTACTCATACATTTATTTACTTGTTTATAAAGTTATTTCAAAATATATCCTACTGGGCATTTCGCTCACAATTTTATTCTTTTATAAATATTAAACCCCTCTTAGGCGACTCTAGAAGCAGTGCGGAGTAGCTGAGTTAGATTGCTACCGTCCGGTTAGAAGAAGATTGTGTTCATCCTCCCTGTGTACAAACATAAGGATTGTAACTCCTGTAAACTCTAAATATTTAGATTTCTAGACTGTGGTTGATGTCTGTAATGTTATTTACACGATCATGTATGTACACTGCTGCATATCCTGTGGGT